TAGTCTGGTCTTCTGTGTCGATCATGCACTCCCTTTAGGTGGACAGAGCTAGAGAATGCATGCAAAACCACTTTCAAAAAGCCCTTTCTCACATTGTGTGTTTTGGAAGTGGAGGTAGTTGGCACCTATTGTCTTGGGACCTCAGTTGAAACAAGGTAGAAAAGAGTCCCATTTTAATACCCTGGTACAGGCAAAGCCACACCACAGGATGGGGAGGGTGTCTTTCCCCAGCTCTGTGCCACTTGCAGTCTTCCAACTCAGGGCAGTGCTACTTGGGGCCGAAGGTCACCATTCTTAGTGACAGAGTACATTCATTTCTGCTCATGCCTTTTTCTAAGGTGGGGCTGGCATGTCCTTCCTCTTGGCCATTCCTCATGATCAATATCCCACATGGGCATTATTTTACCACCTCGGAGGTCACACCCACCAGCCTGGCAGATGGGCCAGTCCAGGCTAGGCTTCTCTGTAGGGTTGTAGCAGTGGACATGGCTGGGACTCCAGATTTTTCTGTTTGTTCCCTCACTCTCTCCCCCATCTCGCCCACCACCACCAAATTCTTACCACACCTACTGTTTAAACTATATAAGTTTGTTCTCAATTTCCATATTTAAAAAATTTTAAGAGCATATCAATGGTATATATTTACCAATTTAAAAATAATTTGGGGAGGAGGGATCATTACTATATCAAAAAATGCTTGTTGATTTCAGAAGCCTTAAAAAGTGAGAAAATGTGTGTTCATAATCTGAGAGATGCAGTGTGTGCTCAGCTGGACTGTGTCCTCCTGGTGGGAAAGGAACCACCAGTGTGCTCTTCCACCAGTCTGACGCCTTACATTTTCCCTGAGGCAGCAGAGCACAGTGGCCGTGGACCAAAGACTTCTTCACTATTGGTTAAATGACATGATGATAAACACACAAGACCTTATATAGCCAAAACCTCATCCCTAGGGCTAGCAATGAAAGACATTAGTCTCTAAATCATTGGTAATCCAGGTGTGAGGAATGGGGAGACTGGGGTTCTTTAAAACTGGATCCTTCTTACCAGTAAGCACATAGGAATTCAAGCAGAAAAAAGTTTGACCTTTTCCTCAAAAAAAAAAAAAAAATCATAGAACTGTTTTTGAAAGATGACAAATTCTGTACCTGTGGGGTCAAAAGTCACAGTGTTTGACATTAGATACAGCACATGTCTGCATGAAATAGCTGGCAGTGTTGGCCTAAAGCCAAACACAACAGGTATGGGTTCAGTGATGGGGAGTGTGAGGATAGATTTTGTAAAGTCACACAAGGCGCTGGTTGTTTGGATGGGGTAACATGCAAGTATGAGGGGAAGGTGACTCAGTAGAGGCTTTCCAGTAGAGGAGGAGCAGTGGCCTCTGCCAAATTGTCCCTCCTCCTTCTCCACTCCCCATCTCCCATGTTCTTCCCACCCCAAACCGACTAAACAGCCAGACAAGGGTCAGATGGGTATCACATGATATAGCATATGTGGCAGAACAGGGACTAGGGCACTTGCACAACCCTGGAGTGCCTCCTTCAATTTTGATTCCTAAGGGCCTCTCTTGCCTCCTGCTGGTCCAAGCCCCAGTATGTGACAATGCACTGAAAGTCATAAGGTACCAATGAAAACACCCAGCCTTCCAAGATCTCTTCTCCTGTTAGATTCCACCATTCCAACCTAATTTCCAACAACATCCTGGACTATACTGTTATGTTGATGGGACTATTGGGACCTTCTTTCTTCCACCCACTCACTGCCTCCCAGGGCCCTGCTCTCTACCAAGTTTGTAGGTTAGCTCCTTATCTCTTCCCATCCTCCAAAAGATATACTCCACGAAGAAGAGAGGAAGCTAGAGACTCAGTCTTGCCCCTTGTTGAAACAAGTAGGTGTTCCCCTATCCCCATGCAGTCAAGTCCAGAGTTGGGAGACAGGTGGGGAGATTTGCAGGGAGGTGGACAGTTTGCTCCCATTTTAAGCAGCTTGGGAGCTCTGGTTATCAGTGCCCTCTGCTGCCCTCTGTGGCCGAAACACCAATGACCCTAGACACACCACTCCAAATCCTGGGACCCAGCTCCTGCACCCCCATCCCTACCATCACTTTTCAATGCTTTTTTCCTTCTTATCCACAGGCTCTAAAAAGTAAAATAGGAGACACTCTAGCCACAGGCCTATGTCTGTTTTATACTCTCAGCTCTCCTTCCTGCAAAGGTTGCTGAACTGAATCCTGGAAGAAATCTTTTAAGAGGTCATTGGGCCACCCAGTTCTGCTCTAAGCAAGGCTGGATCCAATCCTTTCGGGAATTATATAGGGCTTTTGGTGAATGCCTCAGACACTTCCAAAATGCTCCTTCAGTTACTCACTGGGATTTCCAGAAAATCTATGCAGTTGTTTATCTTAACTTGTGGACCTTTCACATATAGGGCAAAATCCTAATTAGAAAGACAGGCAGGCTGGCCATGGGGAAGGCCATATTAACATGGTTGATGTGCTCTTGAGTGACCCTTTACCTTTCTTTTTATTTAAACATCTGAAAAGCTAATTTCATAACCTCAACCCTGCTGAAATGTTCTCTATGTGCTGGAGACACCGGTTCATTACCTCCTGAGCACAGCCCAGGACTCAGGGGCTCTTGTGGTAACTGACTTTGGGTACCTGGAAGCCACCAAGATGCCTGTTTTGTTTCCCCACTCCAGTCTCAAGTGAGGTAAATAAGCTTATGGTTGATTAAGGGAGAATTGTGTCTACCAATCTGAATTCTTCATTAAGATAAATAAATGTGTCCACTAGGATTGATTAGCTGGAGACGTTAAGAAATCGCCCTATTCCTGAAACCCACTAGCCTTAAGAAATAGGTCCCTAGAGAGAGATCTGCAATCTTTGTCTGAATTCCTTGTCAGGCAGGACATTTGATTTCGAAGTCTGTACGCATAGTGCCCAGCAGCTCTCAGAAAATGAGAAAATGTGTCTGGTTCCCCAGTTCTCCGTCGGTTTTTCCCCTCTCCCAGTTCTGCTTTCGGATGCCTTCCGAAGGCTCCTGGAAAGTATCCCCGCCCCTCTTCTGTGTACATGGGGAAAATACGAGTTTATTTTGTATTATGGCGCTGAAACAAATCTATCCACCCCAAAAAAACTGGTTTATGTAGATCATTCTAATATAAAATAGGGTGAGAGAGGCTAAAGGAAGAGGTTCAGCATTGCTCCGGATGCCAGGGCGGACCAGTTCTCCGGCCCTTGCTTTCTCTTCGGCACACACCTGTGAAGCCCATAGGCCCTTCCCCAGGCTTCAAAAATTAAGGGCCTCCCTTGCCCTTTCCTGAGAGGTACCTGCTGAATCACCATAAGGTGGGTAGGGAATAGGAGAGCAGCTGAGCGCAGGCCCAAGGTGCACCGGGCCGGCGAGGGTCGAAGGCAGAGCGCTGAGAGCGCGGCTGGAAGACCTCTGAGTTCTAAACGCCGGCCTAAGCCCTTTAGGAGCACGACCTCCCAACACTCATAGCTTTCACGTTCCTCAATCGAACCCCGGACGGAGACCCAGAGGGCAGGCCCGAGACCCAGTGACTTAAGGACATGCTGCCAACTCTGCTACCCCAAGATCACACTAGAGAGCCAGACTGCCTTCAGTCCTGAACTCGCCCGGGTCTGAACGGTGGTGGCGGGGCGTTGAGAGCTGGGGGCAGCAGGCCAGACAGTTCTAAGACCCTCTTCTCCCGCATCCCCGCCCAAACCAAACCGCCCAGCACAACCCCGCAAGCAACTATGTGCCAGCTGAGGGAAGGCAAGAGCAAGCACAGCCCTAGCTCGATGTCGCTGCACGGTGTCTCCTAGACCGGCAGCAGGTGATCGATCTGTCGTCTTCCGGCCTCTCCTCCCAGACAGCAAACTCAGCTACGTCCCGCCGAAAAGGGTGCATCGCCCAGGCCTGGGGAGCGGCTGCTGGGGTCCTCGGAATTGTCCCCACTCTGCCCGAGGGGCCACGCACCTGGGAGAGGGAGGAGGAAGGGAGCGCAGCACGGTGAAGGGTCCCGCCCGCGTCCCAAGGGCAAAGCAGGGGAGGGAGGACATGGGCTGCGGTGCACCCCGCTCTCCTGAATGCCGCTTAGCCCCGCACAAACTGCGCCTCCCGGGCGCGCAGTCCCACCCCCCACCCCCGACCCCGCCGACCTCACAAACAACCCCTCCAGGCGCGGAGGGAGGAGGCGGGCCGGGAAGGCCGCAGGCGAGCGGAGAGGAGCGCAGCGCGGGGGCAGGGGGCGGGCCGGGGTCAGGGCAGAGGCTGCGGCCGCGCCTCCCCATTGG